TGGCGTCCTCTTTCCCTTTGGAGGTTGTATCTGAGGACGAGTGGTGCTCTGACTATATCTTACTTTGAGGCGGTGTTTATCCTTGACTATTCCATCTTCCAGAACATCCCCTCCGCTGCAGCCATCGCCGTATTTTACTGCGGAATGCCTGAAATTGCAACCCCATCTACCTAATTCTAACCCTCCCAGCTTCTGCCCTGCTGCAATTCCCCTGCCTGTTTCCTTCTTCTATTTTTGATTACCGCAGACACTCTTATCCCCAGGTACTACCGCATACACTTCTGTCAACCTACCATACAACAAACTCTTGCTACCGCCTAATCCTCACACCCCCTCTTCTGCTTCCAGCTGCCCCTCTCCCGCCCTTTACTTGTTGTTGCATCCTGCACTCTGCTGCTCCAGTCACTCGCCGTGGCCGCTTCCCCCACCCCCTTCTATCCATAGCTTCTCCTGTAACTGCTTGCAACCCTTCCAGAATTACTGCCAACTTCACTAACCTACCAGACAACCACCACACTCATTTCACCTGCTGCCCAATGGCTGCCAGAATTCACTTCCACCCTTTCTGCTCTCAGAACCAGTTCCCATCCGACCACTGCTTGCTGTCTAGCCACCAGTAACTGCCCTCGTCCTCGCCCTAGGGTGTCTTTTTACGTTGTGTTATTTTTCTATTGTCAAGAGTCTACGTGTCGAACATTTTGAATTTCAATGATAATATTGTCTTTCTATTGGGGTTTGGGTTTACTCCGATATCATGCAGACTCATGTTGTAGGCTTTGAGATTATAAAATACTTATACGAGACAGATGAAGACTTCTAAGAAATTTGGGACAATGTCGGGAGAAACTAGAAAGGGGGCCGCGGTTATTGTTGTAGCTACAGTGATGCGTTTGCGGTAAAACTCAGTACCACGGGACGGTAAACTCACGAGTCAAAAATATTATTCATTTAATTTGTTTTTTTTTTAAATGGTGCGCTTTTAAATTTGTGCTTGTCTACGCTAAATAAACAAATTGGCCATGATCTGGATGGTAGATGGCTATCTATATTCCATCATATTAGGCTCAGCAATATGTCAGCCATGTTCAAGGTTTACATTAGTTCTAAGTTCAATAGTTTTGGGTCCCTATTTATCCTCATAAACATGTAGCTCTTGACTTCATGAAAGATTATCATTTAAATAGATGTTTACTTAGGTGCTACTGGCTTCTGGATCTTATTTTATCTTTAGGGTCCGTTTGGGATCACATTTATTTTTTTATTTTCTATTTTTTATTTTTATTTTGTTTTGTTTATATTTTGATTTAAAACAAAACATGTTTCACTAGTTAAAATAAAGTATAAGTGTTTTTAAGAACATGCTGATTTGTTTTAAACGCAAAAAAGAAAAAGAAAAAGAAAAAAAAGGAACAAAAGAAAAAGAAAAATAGAAAAACTGAAACAAAAATAAGAAATAAGAGTGATCCCAAACAAGCCTTTAGTTTTCACAACATTGCATTTCAAATTTTGACAGTCATTTAACACTGTAAAACTGTGAGGGTGCTGTAAAAGCAAGGGCCAGTAGGTGAGTCATTGTTTGTAGAGCTCATTTGAGTGATTGAGATTTTTGGAATCATGTTTTGAAAAAGATTAAAGATTTTGAAACCATCATTTATTTGACTATAGCTAGATGCTAAATTTTATTTTGAACTTCATGAATCTTGTTAGGAAGAATTGTGCTGCCAAGTATTAGAAGGAAGATCTTGGTGTTGTTTAGATTCTCCAGGATCTAGAATTCCTTGATCCAAGTAAAACCTAGAAGGCTAATCAACTGAAAGCTTATTTCATTATGAAAGTGTGCACAATATTTAATTCGATGGTTATGTTATGTGGAATACTAACTTCGTGATCTTACAATATGATTTCCAATACTCTGGAATGTGCTTTTGTTTTAAATTTTTTTATTAAACATTAAATTTTTTTTTGTAGGGTGCTGGCCTTGTTTTTGCACTAGAGTTTCGTAAAATGCTGTCAAAACTTCCTGATATGGAGCGTTTACTGGCACGCCATTTTGCTAGCTGGTAATTTTGCTATCCTAAAACTAAGTAAAAACACTTTCTTGAAAATTTCTTTAGCAAACTTAGGCCATGTAAGATGGTTTCAAGTTTAATCGTACTATTCAAAGTTCATCACATGCTTATAGTTCTTTCTTGAAGTTTGGTTTTGTTTGCTAATTATTTGATTTCTTAATGAGGTAACTTCCTATTTAAAACCAAAACCTTATGTACTTATGAAAATAAATCAAAATGCTTGTATTTACAATAATATCATCTAAACCTGAAGAGTACAACAAAATTCTTAGTGATTTCATTGCATTACTCACGAATACAATAAATTTTAATGACATACCCATATTAATATCTCTTCTTTTGATTGCTTGTTAGTTACAATGTACTGCTAGATTTTTTTCAAATTATATTCTATTTATTTTTTCTAATTTAGGGGATTGGTGGAGTACAATCTACAAAGATAAGGTGGTAAAAATAAACTTGCTTAGTACCAGTCATATTCCATTAGGCTATAGAGGCACAAATATTTGTACCCTTCATCAGATTATGGAAATAAAATTCAAGTATGGATATATTAGTTGCCCTTTTTTTGGGTTTTTTAATAAAACTATAACAAAATTTCTGCTCTTATTATTACATGCTTGATCCTCTATCGATTGAGTGAATCCCAATGATTTAACATTATCTTTTATTGGTGAGATGGCTCAATTGTTGAAGCTCATGCCAGGAAACACATGCCGAAATAGACTAATATTTGAGTCATTTGACTCTACAATGAAGTCTGAAGTGTGAGCTCATTTCATGATCATTAAATTTGATGGAGCATAAATTAATTTGACTGGTCACAAAGATTGTTTGCTTTTTTTTGTCACATTTAACTTGACTCAGATGTGTGGTGTACATAAATATTATAATTTAGTACACACAAAAAATTCATATATTACAATACTTCATAAAATAATGATTTGAATTCACTTAGAAACTCGAGGGTTCTATCCGAGGGATTTGGATTTCATATATTACAATACTTCATAAAATAATGATTTGGATTTGGAGGAGCTCCGGTTCGAGTTGTGATTATCTTCTTCTATCCCCTTCTGCATCCTCCCATGATGTTCCTAACCATCCTCTATAGCTGCAGTCGCCTTGAACAATACTTATTTGTTGTTTTTCACTGCAGTCTTCCAATTCCAGCCCTTCTTGCTCGCCGCCACAGTTTCAGACAGTCTCTCCTTGCTGTACTGTAGTCCCCTGCTTCGCTGTCGTCATCCGGAAATTAGCGAACCTGTTGTTTTCCTGTTGTCTCCTTGTGGTTCAAGCCTTTCCCGTGCCTCGTCTCTCCACTTGCCACCACACTTGCTGCTCTCGCTGTCCCAACCTTCGCCCAACCCATTCCAACCACATACCGTAGCTCCACAATCACAATCTTGTTTATGAGAAATTTACAAATAGGTATCCAAAGGATTTTTATGGAGGATATGGAATGAGAAATCCACCAACTCAGCAGAGGCTTGCTACCTTCGAGAGTAGGCAAGCCAGATGGGTCACCCGTAGCCACAACGATGACTTGCTAGATTGAAGGAATGGAGTGAATCTTTTCCACAATGCATATTCTAGAGATGAAGAATCTCTTATCGAAGATGACCACGACCCTGAAGATTTGAATTGCAATATCTGAGAAGCCAAAATTTTGAAGTAAAGGTGAATTTTGCCATATTATAAAAGCCACATGGACCCGAACGAGTTTATCGAGTGGCTTTGGACCTTGGAATGTATCTTTGAGTGTTGGGACATTTCACCTGATAAAATGGTGAAACTAGCCGCCAGCATGCTAAAGAAATGTGCCTTATTTTAATTGCAAAATTTGAAGTACCTCTGCTAGCGAGAAGAAAAAGATAAAATTGCTACCTGGCACAAGATGAAATGAGATATGCAGTGCCAGCTTCTACAGGATGTTCAGACCTCAACTTGAAATGTGAAGAGATCATATCACCGAGTGACTGCTACATCGACAGGGTTTCTACCCTAGGATTTTCTATCCAGAGTACAACTAGGGGAACATCCAAGTTGACCTCGCTTGAGAAAAACACTAGTTGAGAGGAGAAAATAGAGGGAACCAATCTGCATACCCAAATTCGTCTCAGCCAGGAACTGTTTCAAGTGTTATGGATTGAGCATACTGAAACAGATTACACAACTATGAGCATGATATATTTCATTGAGCAAGGGATTGTTGAAGAAAGAGACAATGACATAGTAGACACTGGAGAAGGTGATGACACGAAGGAGAAAGATCAGATTCCAATTGATGAGGGAGAAAAACACTTAGTTCAAGATGAGGTCATCAGGGAGATTTCAACAAAATTCACAATTGTGACCCAAGATGGTCCTAAGTCCGAGGAACCGACACCAAACACCTAACGACTCCAGATAAAAGAAATTCAGACTTTTCAAATCTATAGATTCATTCTTAAATTATCTATATCGAGTGACGTGTGTGAAATTTGTGCCTTATTTTTTTATTTGCCCCTGCATTATTTCAACTGTACCTAATTTATGCTTTTTCTGGTGTTTTATATGTTATTTCTAGGTTTCAGGGCTTGAAGGTATATAAGGAGCTCTGTCATTTGGATACTCCAAAATGAATGTCGGCATAGTAACACTACTTTTTTGGCATATATACGCCACTGTTGGCCCAAGATGGTCTTAAGTCTGAGGAACCAAAATCAAACAAACAATGAACCCAGTATAAGAAACTCAAACTTTTCAAATCTATAAAATTCTTCCTGAATTACCCCTATTGAGTGATGTGCGTGAAATTTGTGCTTTATTTTTTATATTCCCCTGCATTATTTCCACATTTCGTACCCAATTTATGCTTTTCCTAGTGTTTTATATGTTATTTGTAGCTTTTAGGGCTTGAAGGCATAAAAGGAGATCTGTCATTTGGACACTCAAAAATGAATATTGATGTATCTACGCCAGTTTTCTGGCGTATATATGCCATTGTTGGTGTAGAACAAAATTGGTGTATGCACGCACTTTCCATTCCTCCACGGAGCAATTGGCACCTTGGCATTGAATACCTGGCATGTAGGCACAATGTTACACCGGGCTCCTAATTGCCACTTATTGGGTACTTAAGCTCCACACCTGTCGCATAGGCACCCGCTTTTCAGGGTCTACGCATCCTGTCCAAACAGAAGCAACTTTCATGATTGAGAGATTGGAACCTTGGTGCCACTTTTAGTTGCACCACTTTTAGTGACACTAGAGCACCACTCCAAGGCTAAAGCGCCATACATCGGTGCATAGACACTCAACTTAGCGGCACTAAGGCGCGGCCTACGGCATCCACGAATGCTGCACATACAGAGTGGGCAAAACTACGATGCTCCAAAGTTAAACTCTGGTGCCGACGAAGCTAGTTACGGTAGTTCTGTTTCGGTGACAATCCATGGCATCCGAGCTTTGATTGGTGGATGAAATTATGAAAGAAGAGGGGCTTTGCTCTTCCACTATTTTTCATTGGCCATGTGCTCGACCCTTGGAGTGACACTGAGGAAAGAAGACATCAATCAGAGGGTAGCCACTGGAGAACTACTGCAACTGCTGACTACACTTCATTAGAGGAATCTCAGGAGACTGTGAGAGGTTGTGAGAGCTCTCTTGGGAGAGAAGAAGTGTAAGTGTGCGTTATGTGTGGAAATTTAGAGATTCTCTTATAATTCGTGTAATTTGGTGAAGAACTTCGATGAGACTGTTCTTAACTCCTTTGGTTTTGAATCTGCAATGAAATTTTTGTTGTGCTCATGTGTTATGTGTACACTTAAAAGTTTTTTCTCCCTTTAATTAGATTTTATGCAATTAGTATTGAGAATGGGCGTAATTTGCTCTCAAATTGATAGTGTAACCTTCTATGCGCATTTTATTTCTAAACCGATCACTTAGGAAGTTAAAATGGGCAGTGATTTAGTACTACGGAAGTAGACTAGTAGAACAATTAAGTTAACTTACACCACTCTAAGAGATCAGAAATATTGCTGTTAGGATGGCACAATCGTGTTGGGAATATGCAAGCACTTGGGTTTTTGCATAGTTAGGGAACTAATTGTAATATGAAACAATTTTTTTTATGACCACTGGGAGGGTTTAAGGAAAACTATTGCTCTTGATTGTCAATTTCATTTGATCTTTTTTAAAATCTGATTTGCATCGGGTCAATTTAGGGGAGATTTTCTATCACTTTTCAACCTCAAAACTAGTTGTAAGAATTTGGAATGGAAATTTTAAAATTACCAACTTTTAATACTTCAAGCTAAACTCAAATCAGTATATTAGAACTCTTCCAAGGTTTGGAGATTTGCTTGTTCCTCGTGGGATCGATATACAAACTCTGATCCATATACTATTTGTATGACACATATACTTTTTTGATTTGCTAGTGCTTCATAACATTTGGCTCATATCACTGAGGGATGTCCAACATTTCAGAACCGGGGTCTTTTTGTGCCACGTTTGGAATATTATATAGAGTTCTTCAAATATTAGATTCAATGTAGTAGTGTACCCTCCATCTGATTTCCAGATCGGAAGGACGAACCAAAGCTTTGGAAATTGTCTTAAGAGGGGGGGGGGGGGGGGATCCTTCAATGGGATTCAGGTTCTATCAGTGAAGAAGAAGAGGTCTCTTTTTAGTAGTTGCTAGTGAGAGTGGTGCATCTTGCAAAAGATATCCCAAGATTGATTTCTTCTCACATATTTTATTATCAGTTAGCTTTTGCTGAGTATGAGAAGTGGAGGAAGGTTTCTGATCTAAGGACTCGAGAGTAACATTGTGGGAACCTATATCTATATGGTGCTCCAACTCATGATGTTCCAAAAAAGGATGCATATTCATTCTTTCAAGACGTGCTATGGAATGTCAACGCCTACAAGACCAACTTGTGAGAAGATTGTCATTCTTGATTCTTTTCATGAGATTGACCTGATTGTGATTAGGAGATAGAAGC